CCTCCTGGTTTCTGCTTTCTGATAACCGGAGCTCTGCTGTCCAAGACTTTATCTAGCAATCTTGGCTGAAGTCCTTGTGGAGTTTTTCTGTGCAGTGTGCCAAGAACAAACACTCTCCTGTATTAGCTGCATCATCCTCGTACCCGATAGCATCGAAATACAATTGGTAAAAAAAAAAAAAAAGGCACAACCCACTGGTGTGTGTCCGTCAGGAGCGACCGTTCTAATGATTTCTACCCGACGGGAGAAACGAGCAGCATCAGCAGTTTTTTTTTTGCTTAATATCACACTCAAATGTAGGAAAGTGCACCCTCTGGTGGCGGATGGTAATTGTGGTAGAATGAAAGCTGTGAAGTTGCATATCAGTCGGTCAGGCTTGTATAAACAGATGTACATGTGTGTGTTTACGTTTCAGTTACAGTGTTGTCAAGTAGAGAGACAGAGAGACATACACAGTGAATCAGGACAAAAGCGAGAGGCTGATAGAACGGAGCAGGAAGCCAGACCAAACATGGGCACAGGTGACGCACAGAGGATCCCCAGTTTCCATAGCAACAGGCAGGTGCAAGACACTGGCAGCTAATCTGGCCGGCGATCTGCTGAGGTGAAACATTTGCATGCACATCACAGTGTGAATTTACGCAAACACACACTTATGCAAATGAAAAAGGAACAAAGGCACTGGGCAGCGGACGTGTTGTCCCACACACACACACACGTGTCCATTGTGACCACAAAAGAGATGAATGACCACTGGAAACCCCCGGCAACAGGAGAGCTCAGCATGTACGATTAACAACACACTGACACTGACACGTACTGAGACGCTCTGTAGTAGTAGGTGAAGAGGATGAAAGTCAACAAAGACGGAGGAGCAGGAGGAAAAGATCAAAGGGAAGAGGGAGCCAGGGGAACAGGAGTCGATCCATCCCTGGGGGAGAGGGGGGTAACATGATGAAGAGGAGGTAGAAGAGCAAAGAGGGGTGGTGCACGTAGTCCAGGGACTGAAAAAAAAAAGTAAATTTGACCCGATTTCCTTTAAGTAACTTAAATCTAAGTTAAATAGTTTTCGGAAAAAACTAGCATTTATTACAATTATATAATTTTCCACTAGGTGGAAGCAAAGGTTTAGAAGCAAGGGTTATTAAAAAAAAAAAAAAAAGACTGAGGTGTTGAGGAGGTTCTTGTTTGGGACTTTCTTCAATTCCTGGGAGTATATCCACGTTGTGTTCAACTAAACAGGCCCCGGTTTCGCACTGTATCGTAAGTCAACTGAAAGGAGAAGATGATCGCATTTCGTAACGTATACTTTTGTTTACATCAGCAGATCAATCTGGACCGTTAAAATACCTGAAGTCTCCAACAGACCGCGGTTCTCCTGTCACACACGCTGAGCAGAGGTGTCTTTCCTCCTAACCCCGACACTGTATCAGATCACTTTCCTCTGCTCGTCGACTATTGACCCACTTCATATACAGCAGCAGAGGGAGGGACCGCAGCTGTTCCAACAACCCACACATATACTGGCGCTGCGCAGGGGGAGGCGGGGGGGGGGGGGGTTTCGCGAAAAATTTTTTGGGTTTTAAAATCAACACATACACACTTACCTTCCCCAGAA